AAAAAAAAAAAAAAGAATCCTAGATCCAAAGGGTACCCTACACAATCTGAAATTAGGAGTTTAAAAAAAAATAAAAGAAAATGCTAGATTTCATGTTAAATTACAAATTTATCAATTAATTACTGGGATGTGTAGTATAGACAAAAAATGCAAAGGAAGGGTCAAATAAATAAAAAAGCAGCAAGCTCAAAGTAAATTACTAAAGGGATTCTTCCTTAAAAGTATGTGATTTGGCTCAACTCCTGTGGCTCAACGGCTAAGGCGCCAGCCACATACACCTGAGCTGGCGGATTTGAATCTAGTCTGGGCCAGCCAAACAATAATGATGGCTGCAACCAAAAAATAGCCGGGCGTTGTGGCGGGCGCCTGTGGTCCTAGCTACGTGGGAGGCAGAGGCAGAGGCAGGAGGCAGGCTCAAGCTCCTGCTTGAGCCCAGGAGTTGGAGGTTGCTGTGAGCTGTGATGCCACAGCACTCTACCCAGGGTGATATCTTGAGGCTCTGTCTCAAATAAAAAATAAATAAATAAATATGTGATTTAAAGAAAAAAAATACAACACTCAGAAAGTTGGATAACCAGCAGCTGAATGTGGGTGGGGCTTTAATTGGGCTTGTGGGAAGGGGGCCAAACTTGAACTGATGCTGGGAAGAGCAAACAGGTACTGGGTGGTCCGGAGTTGGCACAGTGGACAGAGCTGAGGGAGTGCACCCTGTGGGGCATGGTGGGTGAGGAGAAGCCTGGCTTCACCGAGGTGCTTCCCCTGAGAGACAGCACATGCCACAGTGTGTAATCAAAACATCCCAACGAGCACATCCCTGGAACAAACATACTATTTCCCTAATGACATTCAGAAAATAAAAGAATGAGCAAAACCTAATTGTAGGATTTTTAACAGCCAGCAACTAATAATGGTCTGGTTTCTTACTCTGACATCATAATTATGGCCTATTTAAATTGTTCTCATATCCCAGATAACAAAGATCAGAGATAGATGCTAAAAATATTTTTACTTGATTTAAATTAAATTCAAATGCTCAAATTAATTATGAAGATGCTTTTGAATTTGTTAATTCTAGTATCAGTTTATTTTTTATTTGTCTTCAAAAGATTTGGTTATATTTAACATCAGATTGGATTAGTAAAATCCGAGTTTAAAAATAACTATCTAATAAATAACCTGGATGAAAAAAATTTAAACTTATTAGTTTCTCTAACTACATTTAAAATACTAAGGGAAGTACTTCATAACAGAACAAGACTTGCACCTGATTTTGTACTCATTAGCTGAAGTGTGTCAACCTCTCCTGACACAATGGCTGAAGTAGGTCCTCTACAATAAAATGACTTTCTAAGTTTGTTTCCTTTCCTTGTTCTATGATCACCTTATTATAATTCCCTTTTAATGTAAACCCCTTTCATGGATGTTTTGGTGTAACCTGCTGAATTACAACTGGGTTGACTTTGCTCCCAGGAGATTCTTGGCACTATCTGGAGACATTTCAGTTGTCACACTGAGAGGGTGCTGCTGGCTTGTGGCCAGAAGGCTGCTGAACATCTTGTAGTGCACAGAACAGCCCCCAAGTAAAAAAGTACCAGGCCTCAAATGTCCCTAGTGCTTAGGCTGAGAATCCCCAGGAAAATGTCAATTAAGACACATTAGCATTTCTACACATTTCATAGTAACCTTTGACCACTGTCCTCAAGTACAAAGTAACAAAATATAGAACGTGCTCTTCAACTACAGTGATCATCTTGCCTCTGAATTTTAAATATCCAGGTCAGACTAATTTTTAATTCAGGATGTCCACAAAAAGTTATTTTAAAATGTATAAAATCTGCAGTTACTATATGGTAATATATTTAAAACTCTCTTGGAAGGTTAAGATAGAGAGATCATTCTGTAAGCAAATAATTATAAATGATATAAGTATTAGGTTTAATATAATTTAAAAATCTTTAAAAACTATCAAGAAATAACATTTCGGCTCGGCGCCTATAGCTCAACCGGCTAAAGCGCCAGCCACGTACACCTAAGGTGGCCGGTTCGAATCCCCAGCCCGGACCCGCCAAACAACAATGACGGCTGCAACCAAAAAATGGCCGGGCGTTGTGGTGGGCGCCTGTGGTCCCAGCTACTTGGGAGGTGGAGGCAGGAGACTAGCTTGAGCCCAGGAGTTGGAGGTTGCTGTGAGCTGTAATGCCACAGCACTCTACCCAGGGGGACAGCTTGAGGCTCTGTCTCAAAAAAAAGAAAAAAAAAAAAGAAATAACATTTCCTAAATCCCATTTATGTTTAAAGATACAGGCAGCAACAGTATTTTGAGCTCTATCTCTTCAGTTTTCCTGTCACTCATGCAGAAAATCATTCAGTGATAAATGAACTAGACAAATTCATCTAAACTGGTCAAATTTTAATTAAAAATAATATAAAATTTTAACTGTATTTTGCTCAAATTACTCCACTATTCTAAGTTTTCCAGAAGTCACGGAGAGAGTGTGAGGTGCGGAGTGCCTGGATCTGCCAGTGACTGTTACATGCACTGCTACCACCTGCACGGTGAGGGGCTGAAGCCACGTGCCAAGGTCAGAGAATGCATTTCCTGAGCCAGAGAGGCTTTGACACTGACCTCAACAAGACTCTTTTCTTCTTTCCATGCTTATACTGAGCGGGTATTTACAACTTCTGAGGTCTATGCTTGTATCATGACAGACTTCCACAAACAACTCTCAATTAACACCCTACATTTTCTCTTATAATCAATTTTTTTCCTCATTCTTTTTTTTAAGCGTTTTCAATATAATCAATTTTTAAAACAAGTCAACAAGTGAGTTCTTTGTTAAAACCCAAAAGAAATGCACAAAAAACACTTTAAAAGCTACTTGTTTATGCTTTCAGGCAATGGCAACAGCTATAAGCATCACTCACTTTCACAAACAGGCTTTGTTCTTAGTACAGCAGCCAGAATCGATATCAGACATACCTGGTTATTGCTGTTGGCAGCTGAAGAATTGGCTTGCGCTGTACTTGCTGAGAGGGAATCAAGGAAGGCTTGGTCAGCCACTGAATTTCCACAAGAAAACCGATCTTTTCCATCATTGGGTAAAATCTGAATAGCAGAAAGAACCATAATCATTTTCATTGGTTAGGGACATTTCAGAAAGTCTCTCTCAAGGGCAAGCAAGAATTTTCATCTACTATGGAAAAAGGGTATATTCTTCAATGCCACACATTTCCCGCCAAGCACTTTGGCAGCATTCCACATACTTTGATAAGTTGTGTTTTCATTTTTATTTAGTGCAATTTTTAAATTCCTTATGAGAGTTCTTTGATCCATGAGTTATTTCAAAGTGTGATGTTTATTGTAACTGGATTTTCCAGTTATCTTTTTGTTACTGGTTTCTGGTTTATCACTGTGGTCTAACAGCAGACATCACAGGATTTCACTATGCTGACATTGTGTTTCATGGCTCAGAATGCGGCCTTGGGGAACGTTCCCTGTGCGCTTGAGAAAAATGTGTATTCTGCTGTTTGATGAAGAAGCCTATTTATGTCCATTATTGGACCTTACCTATCAATGGTGGTGTTGAGTTCAACTATGTCTTTGCTGATTTTCTGCCTGCTGGATCTATCTTTTTCTGATAAGGGGGAGATATATTCTTAGAAGATAAGCAAACCCCAAAATGCCTGCAGTAAAGACACCGTTCTATAACTAAAAAGAATTCTAGAAAATGCAATTACTGCCAATATCAATCCTCAGATTTTTCTCAAAATTGTCAATTTTCAGACTTCCTGGAGGCACAGCGTACACAACTAAACAAGATGTAAACATTAAGACCTGTGGACTGAGTCCAGGAGCCTGTGACCCCTCTGCAGCTGTATGGAAAAGGTTGGGGTGTGTACTTAGGCCCACATTCCTGAAGGAAAGTATGGATTTCACTAGATTCTCCAGAGGTTCAAGACTCCCCGCCCTTCGTTCTCAATCAACTACAACAGAAAGACAGCAAGGTCCCGGGTAAACGTCCTCCTGGGGCATTCCTTCTTGGAAATTCTTGCTCTACCTGCAATTTTGTTGACAGAGCATTGGACAACCTTAATTTCTTTCTACCACACGATGACACAGGTCACTGAGCAGCACACTCAGCTTGAGTGACTTACATGGCACCAGCAGGGGGCGCCAGGCGGCTGACCCAGAGGCTTGTCGGCCCAGAGGGCGGCCCCAGGTGCCTCAGGTGGTCAGGTGAGTGTCCATTCAGTGCCTGCACAGCTGCCTACCACAACAGAACTTAAACCAGGCAGTTCTCAAAGAAACTCATGCAAGATACCCTTCTGCTTATGAAAAGGGGGGAAGAAAGTGAGAGGTATATACTTAAAAAAAATCAATTTAAACTTTGTGAATCAATTGTACAACAAGCAATATTGTAGGCAGCAGCTATTATACAATATTAGTAAAGGAAAAATAGGAATTTTATTCAGAATAATTAAAAATGCTACTCTCAGAAGGAACAATTTAAATATTTGTAGTCATTCTTAGGAGCTTGGGTCTATACGTATTTATTTTTATTTTTTGAGACAGATTCTCACTATGTTGCCCTTGGTAGAGTGCCATGGCGACACAGCTCACACCAACCTCCTTCTCGTTTAAAGGCTTAATCGATTCTCTTGCCTCGGCCTCCCAAGTAGGTAGGACTATAGGTGCCCGCCACAACGCCTGGTTATTTATTTATTTGTTTTTTTGGTTGCAGTCGTCATTATTATTTGGCAGGCCCAGGCTGGGTTTGAACCCACCAGCTCTGGTGTATGTGGCTGGCACCTTAACCGCTGAGCTACAGGTGCTGAGCTGGTAATATTTTTCTTAATTCTGTTTCAATGCAGCTTCCACATTTTATATAACCAACATTTATTTCCTTTACAATGGAAATTTTATTTTACAAAAAGTTGCTATCTTCCAGTCTACCCTATAAGTTGATCATAAAAAGAAGCTCCACAGAGATCAGCTGTAACTAATAAATGACAGCAGGTCCTTACTTCCACGTAGTCTGTGGGAACAAGCCCTCGCTCTCCTTTGCTGTTTCTTCCTTCCAGCCATCCTCCGCCAACATCCTAATAAAGTCACCAAAAAAAGAGAGAAAGAGATTATAGGGAATTTCCTGCAGTGATTTTGCTTTGAGCATTGTTATACGTACAAAAGTAACATTAACATTTGTATTTCTACAGAACTAATACTGTTCAAAATTTTAAGTTCTTAAATGTTCTCTTTATTCCCAAAGATGATGCTTTAAAATGTTCTCTTTATTCCCAAAGTTTAATAAGAAAAATTAAACTTCAACAATAAGTGATCAAAGATTGAAAAATAACCTATTACTAGATTACTATCTTCTATAATTCCTTTCTGTTTACTAGCCTGTGGTAGATGACAAAGTGGCCAGCAGGTCCAATTGTCAAGCAGCAGAATGTGTGACCCTATTCCCGAACTCTCTGGTGAACAGAATCAGGTGGAAATAAGCCCAGCGCATTCAGAGCCTGGCCTCCAGGGCCTCTTCACACTTCAGCTTAATCTTTTGGAACCCAAGCCACCATATGGATGAATTTGGGTTGCTAGATGATGACAGAGATAAGGCCCAGTTTCCCTGCTGCCCGTCCACAGGGGAGGTCATCTTGGGGCTGCAAGGGTTAGCAGGGTTCAGGGCTTCAGGTGACTGAGGATCACGGGCAGCCCAGGTAAGCAGAATCATCCTCCTGACCTGGAGATTCCGGTCTGTTACTGGCCTAAACCACTAAGTTTTGTGACTGTTTATTATGCACGAAAAGCTAAATGATCCCTGGTTCCCTAGTGCTTCTGGGTAAATAATATCAATAAACTAAACAATGAAGTAGAACTCTATATCAGGATTCCCATTTTTCAATTTATTATCTTGGCAAAAGTCCTACTTTCCCCCCTTAAAACACTAAAGAGTTTTCTTAAGTTTATAAATAGCATTCTTATTAGTTCATAATTATCTGAATCTGGATAACCACATTCTTTTAAAAAATCATTTTAAGCCATGACTTCATCACTTTTACCACAACAGCAACTTGAAGATGATACGATTTTACTAAGAAAATGAAGGTGAGTAGATGTAAGAATATGTTAATCTACTCCTATGGTTAAAAATGGAACCTATCTACCTGTGTGCACCTAGCCTGTTAGCTGAAGTTACTTTATGTACTTGTTCTATCCAGTGACACTTTTGTATCTAAAATTATAAAACTAGTTTGTCTAAATACTTTCCCTATGAAGAAACGACCATGGCCTCTGGGTTCCTTCTCCTTCCTTGATCTTCGTGCCACATCACGCTCACCGCTCCCCCCACAGCCGGTGGGGGTGGAACATCTGCACCCCCCGCCCCTGCTCTTCAAGAGCATCCTCAGCCTTCCTGTACCTTCCTCGACCTGCTTACTCTTACTGAAACACAGCCAGGGAACCCACCCAGCTCCTGGCCTAATCTCTGGTTCTCCATTTCCAAGTTTAAATGGATGCAAAGCTGTAAGGCAGGGTTCACTATTATCCTTTCCACTTGACATACCTATACCCCAAATCATTTAATCCTTCCAAAGAAGTTCCTCTGCCTGACTTACATACTTCAACCACCCTACCATTCTCTCAGGTGCAAAGCCAAACACTTCAGGGATCCTAGACCCTTTTCCCACCAATAATATTTAATCAAGCACCATGTCGCATGAACCCGACTCCCTCAGCCTCTGGTGTCTATCTCCTTTCAACTCCACTGCCCCTGCCCAAAGCCATGTCCCCAGACTCTAGCCACACCAACTTCTTCTATATACCCCACCAGATTAATTTCTGGCAAGTGCAAATCTCATCACATCATCTCCTTATGACAAAATAGGTTGGTTTTTATAAAAACTAAAACTCTTAAATGAATCCGCCGCTTACCAAATGAAGCCCAAATTGACAGCCTGGGCCCCAGGTCTGTGTGAGCTGGTTCTCAGAGCCTGGGTCTTAGCCTGCTTCCCACTGGTACATGTGTACCCCGTCCTCCTGGGACTCTTTTTATGTGTAAAGAGAAGAAAAGCAGATGCTTCAAGGCCGAATAGCTGTGGCTCTGACTCCTTGTTCTGCCATTTATAAGCAGAATGATCTTGGGCAAGTTATTCACTCTACGTCTCATTATTCTCACTTGGAAAACAGAGATTAACAGTACCTTCTTCACAGAGTTCAGGGGAAAATACATTAAAGAATATGCTTACTGGCTCGGAGCCTATAGCTCAATGGCTTGGGCACCAGCAACATATACCAGAGCTCATGGGTTTGAACCCAGCTGGGGCCTGACAAACAACAAT